GCGCAGCGCCAGTTGGTTGAGAGCGCCCAGGCCCAGGCTGCCTCTTTCGAATGTAATTGAGGCAGGCCCTGGGCCAGATTCGCAACATGGACTGAACACAGGCCGCGGGGAGTTGGACATGGGCAACCACCACAGGCCCAGGGTTTGATTTGTTTGGACTGGGGCTCAGGCCGCTCAGCTTCTCTGGGCCTACCGGAAGCTTCTGGGCAGGGGCCCAGAGCAGCCAGTCCACTTCCATTTAGGAAAGTGCCTGGCCACACATTCGGCATTCGGGCACTGGCTGCATGCTGCGCAAGCGCTGCTGCGCTAATGCTGGCCAGCGCTCACGCGCTCACGGGCGAGCTGGAAGGAGCAGGCAGCCATAGCTGAGCTGTGCTGCTGTATGCTGGATGGGGCGCATGGTGGTCCTTGGGTGCACGTGGCATCTGTGAGTGGGGGATCGAGGTTGTGAGTGATGCGAGAGACATACCTGGTGCTTGAGGCGAACGGCATTGGCCGAGATCTGCTCGTACTTCGGGGAGCTTTTGACGTCACCAGCGGCATTGTAGATAGGCTAGATAGGATCTGCCATTTGTAGTCTGGGTGCAGAGCGCCAGATAGGATGTCGACATGGGTTCTTTGTTGATGATGATGAGACTATTCCAACATTGTCACTTATTAGCTTTTGTTGTGCTCTTATTTGGTGGGACTCGTGTTGCAATTCTGCTTTTGGTTCGAGGTCACGACTATCTGGTCTCATGTGTATGATGCTCCTTGGTTTATGAAGTTCGCTATCGTTCATTTTCCTTGCAATTTGGTATCGGAGCTGTGGTACAGTGCGCTCATCTGGCGCTTGTCTTCTGCCTTCGCGGTACATGCATGTGGTCTGCTAGGCGAGCAGCCGTAGGGAGTGTGTAGTGTGGAGGGCGAAGGCAAGCAGGCGACCCAGGAGGTGAGGGGTTCGCCAGGAAGGCTACGTGGTGAAAGTGGGTGTTCGCAGTGTGATGAGAACTATCTGATGTGCGATTGATGCTGATGTGGAACGGTGGTGTAATGCTGGTTGTGTCGAAGCAGCGATTGGTCATTACAGTCGGCATCAGGTCATCTGATGAGAATGTCTGTGGTTGGGGGCAATTGTTTTGAGGTATGTTCCACCTAACCTTATCTACCCTCTTCGACACTTTTTACCATGAGGATGTGTGTTCTGTCTTGAGAGTTCTCTCATGTGAGAAGTCAAGTGCGCTCAACCTTGAGAGTCGACATTGTTCACGTGGAGGATCTGGAAGGAGAGGGCGGAGCTATCTGAAGGGCCCTGGACGAAGCACTGGGTCAAGGTCACCATGCCAACCCACCGGGAGTAGAGCACACATGCTTTGCTGCTTTGTCCTTTGTCTACTCGCTGCGCTATTAGATGGGTGATGAGGGGCAGGCCAGCCCTACAGGGGAGACGAGTACCGGAAGCACCGGCGGGGTTACCTTCCACTGACTGTGATCGTCGTCCTGTCTACGACATTAAATGATTCCAGAGGACTGAGGGGGCCGTCCATAAACGCCTCTTGATCAGCCAGTGGTCGGTGTAAGGCTCGCTGCACGCGAGGGTAAACATTGTGTAGGGTTGGCCGGCTCAGCATACACTCGGGGCACAGAGGTGGGCCATGTGCACACCTTTAGACACACACACTATTTTGGATCGCTCAGGGACGCTGACGTCAAGTGACTATCAAGAGGAACTGAGGGAGGGGTAAATTTCAGGTGATAAGTTCGTGTCGAATTCCACGCTGCAAATATACACACAGACGATTCTATTTTTATTTTGATTAGTTAGATGGACAATTGACATCTAATAGACAAAAATAGTTAGAAAAATGCTTTCTGTTGGTGGACTAATTAATTAAAATTTAAAAATAGTTCCGTTTGTAGGAATCTGGACTACCTGTTGGACCCAAATGTGTATACTCTGACTTAGCCACCGATTCGGTCCGATTGAATATTTTAATTATTTTAAATCGGTTTGTGCATTACGCTGCGGTAGGCATCGAGTGTGACCTTTGCAGATTGTTTATAGTTATGTAGCTTATGAGCGACATGGAGACCACTAGCGAGGATGACAGGATCTTGCGATCGGTTAGACGCCCGATAGCCCACGTGGCATTACGACCTGAGGGTGATAGGTTACTGTTCCGCCAACTTAGGGAGAAACAACAGCAGCAGCAGAGAGCTAGGGTAGCAGAGGCCAGCAGGGCGTTCACAAGCGAAGCCACTGCTTCAGCAGCCATGGCAATTGCTGCGCAACAGAGTTCCCAAGCCAGCAGTTCAGGGACCGTAGGGTCAACGATTGCGCAGACCTTGAGTCAGTCCATTGGCGTCATGGCAAGCCAGCCAATAGTGTTGACCCCTGAAGAGGTCGCCATACAGCAAGCAGCACTTCGCGAGGTACAACTACAAAAGGCTTTAGGGGAGATAAAGGCAAAAAAATGAAAAATGATCAGAAGAAGATAAAGGATGCAGTGGAGATAAGCGGACGTTAGTGAGTAAGAGGGGATGGACCTTACAAACATGGATGGTGATGTGAGGACCCTGCATGCAGTCCTACTCGATGTAGTGGAAATGCATGACCATAAGACGACTCTCTTACATGACATCCCGCAGAGCCTGGCCGTGCTGGTCGGGAGAGCTCATGCAGCACCATCACCATCAGGGCCTGGTGCCTGGCCTGTGGTACAACCTCCTCCTTTCGTCCCACCGGTGACTGGGGTATCCCCATATGTCTCTCCAGCATCGGTCCAAGCCGCTTCCCTAGGTATGCCGCTAACAGGAGGGTTCTCAACAAGTCCTAGTGTACAGGTTCCTGTACAGTCAATGTATTCCCAACCTCCGTCGCAGGTTGCCGTAACTGGGCAGCCTGCTGTCTCACAGCCGTCACAGCCGCAGGGCACACAACCCCAACAACAACTAGTGCAACAACCTGCGGCCCAGGGTCCACAACCCGGAGTGAGGCAGCTACCGGGACAAACACAGTGGGTTCCAAAAACGACCATCACCTCACCCAAACCCTTTTCAAGGGACAAGAGGGGTGAAAACCTTGACACCTGGTTGAGGTCAGTGCCAGTCTACGTTAAGTGCAAATTGACCTTGCCACACGAGGAAGTGCTTATCATTATGGCTGCCTCCTATCTTGAGGGGAGTGCTGCGAGATGGTTAAGCGGGTTAGTGCAACTTCAGGGGTACGGTCACGACTTCCGCGCTTGGCCAGTCAACCAGAAACTAGAGGACTTCCTTAAGCTGGTAGAGGAAAGGTGGCATGATCCTCAGGAGGCCCAAAAGGTCACTGGCGCGATCTTGACTCTGAGCAATAGACCGCTCAAATCAGTAAGGGATGCCACAGACGTGGTAGAGCGTCTGATCTGTGTTCCTGGAGTTCGTTACGACCCCGAGGTCTTACTCACTACTTATCTAAGGTGTCTTACGCCCCTCAGAAATCAGTTGGCGGGTGATGCAAACATCAATATGCACAGCTTTCCTTCGTTTAGCAAGAAGGCCCTAGACCTAGAGGCGAAGATTTGGCATGGGCACCAACCCACTACGGATGGTAGGAAAGAGTCACTGCCTCCCAACCGGAAGGTGAAAGCCCGTATCATGTTTGTCGATAACGATGGTTCAACCATCGAGTTAGATGACAACTTCCAGGAGGGAGTAGGTACAGAGGCAGGCAGCGTAGAGGCTTCAGGGGGTGGAGTAGTTGTTGCCTCAGTACAAAAAGGGCAAGGTGACCAGTAGATGTCGTGGAGGCTCCCAGTCTAGGAGTCAAGTTGACCCCAATGCTCCTCCATGGGAGAAAGCGGGTCTGAGGACGTGTGGAGGGACCGGTACACCAGGCAGACCTGTATTCGTTGTGGTCAATATGGCCATAACCAGTTCAAGTTCCGCAATAAGAAGGTGACGAAAAAGATATTGCCTACGATGCGGTAGACGTTGGGATCCTCCGCTCCCGTAGGTAGCAATGTTGCCAGTAGGTATGGAACTGCTCCGGGAAACACGTCGGGCTAGTAGGAATAGCAGTTGTTCCTACTAGGGTCGAGGTGGTGGACACACCCTCACCATCTTGAGAGATGACCCAAGCTACTGACTTCGTTGTCGTCCCGCAAACACATTCAGACCCATCGAACCTCTGTTCGATAAATGTGTTTGAGTCCTTAGAGGAGCTAGAGAAGGAGTGGTCTACGCCAAACCCGCTAGTTTCTTGGACGACATTGGCTCAAGCCCCTAAGGGTGAGATGTTCGTCGGTAAGGTAGTCATCGGCGGCCACAAGGCCAGGGCTTATTATGACACTTGCTTGACGTGGAATTTTATTAGTCGCGCGTGCGCTGAGAGGCTGCGCTTACAGGGGCAAGTGCAACGCCTGAGTCCACTTGTGCTAACAAACATCGCATGGTAGTTAATGACTACCTCAAAGACGTTGAGTGTTGTTTCTCGTATGCGGGAGGGGAACTGAGACATCGCGTCTCGTTCCTAGTCAGCGATGATCTCCCAATGGACATCCTGTTGGGTATGTACTATCTTTCGGTTGCACAACCGCAGTTTGACTGGGACCGAAAAGTGGTCAACACACACTTTGTCGGGTGGGGGGACCGCCAGATTACGTAAGTTTAAGGCTAGTAGTCTGATCGAGTCCTATAGTTGCATGTGTGCGGCCGCATTCTACAATTATTATAAGCAAAATCTGGAGGAGGGTATGTATCTATCTAGTTTATGTCTCTGCAATAGGCGAGCCAATGAAAATGTCGCGCGAAGATAGAGGGAGTAGTCACTAAGTACCCTGATTTATTTGAAGAGCCGAAAGGGGTTGTTGAGAGGGAGGTCGTCCACGTGATAGAGATTATCCTAGGGTCTAACATTCTGAAGGGTAGGATCTATCGGATGTCTCCAGGCGAGCTTGATGAACTCCGTCGGCAACTCAAGGAACTCGTAGAGAAGGGTTGGATCCGACCGAGTGTCTCCCTTTACGGATCGTTAGTCGTATTTGTACCGAAGAAGGGTGGGGGACCTTGAGGATGTGCATTGATTATAGGGGCCTCAATGCCATCACAGTAAAGAACGCAGAGACCCTACCGCGCATCGATGACTTGTTGGATCGAGTGCAAGAGTGCCGGTACTTCAGTAAGATAGATCTGAAGTCCGGGTACCATCAGATTGCAATACAGCCCGAGGATCAACAGAAAACCGTTTTTCAGACTAGGTACGATCTGTATGAGTTTGTGGTGATGCCTTTCGGCCTTTGCAATGCTCCTGGCACCTTTCAGCACGCCATGAACCAGATCTTTCATGACTACTTGGACAAGTTTGTCATGGTGTACCTCGATGACATATTTATCTTCAGTAGGACTGTCGAGGAGCACGTTGGTCATTTAGACAAAGTCCTTAGTCTCCTTCGGCAACACAAGTTCAAGATCAACGGCGAAAAGTGCGAGTTTAGCCGCACCTGTATCTTGTACTTGGGTCGTGAGATTTCCGCTGAGGGATTGAAGCCCGATGACGCGAAGGTGGTCAGCATTCGTGATTGGCCGCGTCCTCAGTCTGTGACTGAGATGAAGTCCTTCTTAGGAATGACCGACTACTATCGCAATTTTGTGAAGAACTATAGCATAGTCGTCGCCCCTATGACGGACCTGACTCGCCTTCACACCCCATGGGAGTGGATAGATAGGTGCGCGGCTGCCTTCAGACACCTGAAGCATGCGCTGACACACCATGAGGTTTTGAAGCTTCCCGATCCTGACAAACCGTTTATAGTAACCACGGATGCTAGCCAATATGGTATAGGCGTCGTGCTTGCGCAGCAGGATGGGCGAAAGTTGAGGCCAACAGAGTACATGCCCAAGAAGATGCCCTCTCAAAAGTTGGCCAAGTCCACCTATGAGAAGGAGCTTTATGCGATCTACAAAGCGCTAACCCATTGGAGGCACTACCTCCTAGGTCGCTTCTTCTACGTTAGGACTGATCATCAGACCTTGAGACGGATGAAGACTCAACCGGTATTCTTTGACGGTCTGAAGCGTTGGATCGAAGTCATTGACCAGTATGACTTCGAACCCCAGTACATCAAGGGGGAGTACAACAAGGTTGCTGATGCTATGTCGCGTAGGGCATACTTTCTTGGTGCGCTGATCACTGAATTTGGGCTTACAGACGATGTCACTCGTTCTTTGGTGGAAACCTATCACGAGGATCCGTTTATGACTGAGATCATACACAAACTCGAGGCGAAAGACAAAGCGACTTCCGCCGAGTTTGAGTTGGTCAACGGCCTGCTGTTCCTTTAGAAGGCTGTGAATATACGTTTGTGTGTGCCTAATCGGGAGTCTTTGCGTAGTTTATTTTTAGGAGAGTGTCACGATGCCACATGACATTTTGGCTATAAAAAAACTGCAGCCAACTTGCTGCAGCAGTTCTGGTGGCCCACAATGATGAGAGACGCCAAGCTGTACATGGAGACTTGTCAAGTATGTCAGAGAGACAAGCCACGTACATAGGCCTCTCTTGGGCTTCTCAAGCCCCTTCCGGTACCGGAAAGGCCCGGTGACTTGGTGAGAGCCTGTCCATGGACTTCATGGACACGCTGGTCACCAGCAAGAGTGGAATGCGATATGTCTATGTCATTGTGGATAGGTTTAGTAAGTATGCTAGGTTAGTCGCAGTGTCTGCAACAGCCAAGACAGAATACGTAATCAAGTTGTTCAAGGAAAACTGAGTCAGGGATTTTGGATTGCCAAAGTCTATTGTGAGTGATCAATAATCCCACTTACCCGAAGGAGGGGCAGTTGGAATGCGAAAAGCCCCCCGACAACCCATGTGTCACTTCGACGGGCCACAACACTCGATCGGCGAGAAGAAAACGGAAGGGGTGACGATCTGCTTGTTTTTTTATTAACCACAATTTGTTTTTTTATTGATTCCGCATTTGTTTTTATTATTAGTCATGTCACCAAACTACGGGAAAAGTGGTATGACATGTTAGTTCTATGACGTTGATGTATTCGCAACAATAGTGTCACATTCCGATACGGCAGCCACCTTTTTTGACTACTTAGAATATAGGAGCAAAAAAAAAAATAATAATAATAATAATGAAGCTTTGCAAAACGACAACTTACATCTTCAAATCTACGGATGAAGTAGAAGCGGTTCGGCGGATGTGATTTCAGTGTCACATTTCAATCATCCCACATACCCGAAGGATGGGCAGATGGAATGCGAAAAGCCCCCCGACAACCCATGTGTCACTTCGACGGGCCACAAAAGTCGATCGCCGAGAAGAAAACGGAACGGCTGTCGATCTGCTCGTTGTTTTTTTTTCGCATTTCTTTATTTATGATTTCGCATTTAATTTTTTTTATTCGTAATCGATCATATTCGCAATGCGCCTACCTGTTTCTACCAGGCGATAGAAGGCCACTAATAATGCGGCCATCGCCCTGACATTACTTTGGGGGCACCGCGATATATGTCTTCTCCTTTTTTTGTACCGTTTTCTTCTTCTCCATCTTCATATTCTTCTCCTTCTTCTTCTTCAACTTCTTCTTCTTCTTCTTCTTCTTCTTCTTTTCTTCACCTTCTTCGACTTCTTCTTATTATTATGTGTGTCTTCATTCCTTTGTCTTCATATGTTAGGCGACAAATTGAGTGGCCTCAACTGATCACCACCGTCAAGGGATGTTTTGGCTTACAAAAAGGGAACAGTAGGATGCACTATTTTTTATCTTTTCTCACTCTCTGTCTCGCATGGCGAAAACAATGTTGGTTCTCCTTTTTTTTTTTTTTTTGTGGTTTCGGTGAGCGATTCCGATGTTGTTTCATGAGTTCAGAATCTATGGTTTTCATACTATTTCTTGCTTCATTTGTTGTTCAGAGTTTCTCCTCATGAATTGATCATCTGTCGCGTGTTCTAAACGACGTTATATTCTGGTCAAAAAAATGGAAATATGTGCTTGCGCTCGCTTTATCAATTATGCTCTCCTTTGTCAAAATCGCCTTCGGATCTTTCAGGATCGACCCTCTAAAGCAAAGTACGAGGCGTTCAGTTACCTTGGCTAAAAGGGGCTCAATCACCTTGGCAAAAGGAGGAAAGGAGTTCAATCGTACTTGCGAATGATGAAAGTAACCACGGTTGTCACGCGGGGATCCCCGGGGCCCAAGCCGGGG